AATAGTAAACTTTATTTCCAGGAAAGAATGGTCCATCACTAAGTTGAAGTTTACTCGCAATATCTCTTCGAAGGTCATCAGATTGTTTTGCCTCTAGAAACTTTCGCATCGCCAGTGACCTTAGTGCTTCAATCTGTCTCTCAGGAGCAGGGGCCTCAGTCGTGAGCTGTGCTGGATTCATGAGCTCAATCGCCGTAAGATCGGCAGGTCTTCTGCCAAATGCTAATTCAATAGGAGTGACACCACCGAGTGTTACCATGGTGTTCCTTGAAATGCAGGCTTGTCTCAACAACTGTTTATAAGTAATGTTGGCAAGCAATGGATCATCTTTCAAGGAAATTAGCATTAATGAGACCTGTTTCTTAAACATGCGAATGGCTGCTTCAGCTCGATTTGGCCATGGTGTTCCTGGTCCTAGAGAGATTGGCCTGATGCTGTGCCGGTTATAATAACTCTCCATCTCAGTGCCCATGAAAGCTTGATCGGCAACAATGTATTTTGGATTCAGCTGATAAGTTTCAAAGTATTCCTGAAGATGAGAAATCGTCACCGGATCAGATCTGTTTTGAACTACAAAAGCAGTAGTCAAGGAGGTTGCACCGTCATACATAAGTAGGAATTGAAGTTTTGACTGAGGATTGATAGGAACTTCTCCATGATCAATGAAAGTAAGTTCACCAAAGACTTCACTTCGAATTCCTGAAACCTTAGCTCTCGATGGTGCAATCCTGGCAGTGGAACATGTGTCACATGATTTGGTAATCTGATCAAATTTGTCATAAATTTCTTTCGGCAACTTCAGAGCTGATGTTCTTCTCTTGAATTGTTCAGTGGTCATATGATAATGCTTCAAATGTAACTTGAGAAGTTCTGTGGGTGATTGAAGCTTATCATGAATTCTCTGAAGTGCAAGTGACAAAGTTCCCTTAGGTGACGGTTCCTTTTTCTCTTCAAGTTTTACCTCAACCTTTGGTTCCGGGTTGACTTCAGTTTCTTCTTCAATCTGAGGTTCCCGACGTCTTGGGATACCGTCCTTTGAACCGGAACTTGGCCCAGAGGCCACCATTGGCTCTTCATCGGGATCAAAAGGTTGAGCTGGTACTTCTAACTTACTATCAGGCTGAATTGTTTTCTTGACAATCTTCTTAGAATCAGGCTTGGCCGGTTTCGGCACCTCTGCAGGCTTAGGCTCTGATCCTTTGAATCTCTTGCAACCTTCCTTGTTTGTGTGAGGTCGATGTTTACCATTGCATGCTAGGCATGTGATGTCTTCGGACTGAAAGCTGCACACCGGTTTCCAACTGGAAGTAGCAAGAGCCATAATGTCAAGGACTGGATGGTTGGATGTACTGACCGCTAATGCGGTGCGCTGCATTCCAAACAGTGGACAAGTCATGAACTCACCTACAGGAGTGTGCTCAATGTTCACGCGAAGATTCCTCATTTGTTCAACTGAAAAAAGGATAGGAACCTTACCTTTGTCCAGGATGTCAACGCATGTTGTGATCCAACCAGTGTGTGCACGATCATTGCGAAAATGAATCACTAATCTTTCCTTGACAGTAGATTGTTCTCCATTGGCAAATGAAAATTTACTTGAACAGGGTTGCTTAGAAAACCAAATGTGATCACGCTTGGGATGTTGTTGGCAAGCCTGTACAAGGCGATCAATGGCAAAGCGGGATCCCATGGCTCGAGTGCAACCTGAGTCAAGAATGACATAAGTCGGATGAGAACCTAGATCTACATATTCACAAAGCAGTGCTTGTTGGGCACCATGATCATAATTGAGAAATACACACTCTTCCGTTGAGACGGAATCGAGCGGGCTTGTGCGCGGCTGAAACGAATGCAGATCACCGTTTCCGGTAGAAACACTCTTCTCAACTTGGCGGATGCTCTTCAATAAAGACCTGTTCAAATCAGAAAAGCACTGGTACATAACAGACACGAACAGAAGCACGAATGTGAGGGCCTCTACAAGTTCGTGTCCGAACAATCGGAACAAGCGGATGCCTGAAAAACAGAACCGGTTGATCTTGTCGGTCTGTCCGTCCTCGAAATTGATGTCTGAATGCTTGTCCTCGGATTCGGTCAGTTCCTCAGCGGAAGCAAAATACGACCAATTGTACCAATCACCTTGGGAGTAATCTCCGTCATATCCATAGTAGGATTCATAACCTGACCAGTCGTCTGTCCAATATGTGTCATAGTCATAACTCCAGCTTTCTTCGGCATGGGCTGTTTCTTGTTTTTCAGGGGCTTGTGATGCACTGGATGATGCAGCCTGTGCTACATTAGCTTGTGGAGGTTGTGACAAAAATGGATTGTTTCCTCCCTTGTTCTTCGCATCACCTTTTCCTTTTCCTTTCCATGAAGGCATTCCTTTGAAAGAATCCTTTCCTTTCATCATTCCTTTCTTGCCCTTTTTACCTTTTCCTTTACCCTTGCCTTTTCCCCAGAAAGCTGTGTCTTGCTGGTCATCTTCCCATGCTGCAAAACCCTTGCCTTTTGACCTCGAGCGGAAGCCGGGTCTTGATTTCTTTCCTCCTTTCTTGCCATAACCTTTTGGTCTACCTTTCTTGAAGGACCTGCCGTAGATGCGGCGCTTAGAGTATGAACCCTTGGCGCTGAGAACCCAGAACTCGTTCTCGGTGTACAGACCTGTGAAACCTTCTTCACCCGTCTCTTCATCGAAGACCCAAAATCCGTACTCACCTTCTTCGGTCTCGCCCTCGTCGATGACGTAGAAGTTGGACCGCTTGCGGTGCGTGATGTTTGGGTCTGCAACACCTGTGCGAGAAACGGCAAAAAGTTCTAAGAACAGCTGTTTCACTTGGAGATAGGTGTATTGAGGCATTGCAATCTGACGGATGTTCATGGACGAGACAAAACGCTCTCGTTGTTGCTCGTTGAGGTCTGCTTGCACTAGAAAAATCAGTGACATCAAATTGTCTGACAATGGAAACTGCTGTGCATGTCTGGTCCTTCTATTGGTTATGGTCTGTTCTCTCAATTCTTGTTGATAAGCTAGCTTATCTTCATCTGTTACTATTCCATTATAGTGCAGTCTTTGCTCATCTGTGAGTGCTGCCGTAAATGCCTGAGTGCCTGCTTCGGGAAGATCGGATATGTCCAGCAGATCGGACCAAGAAGCCAACAAACGCTTCTGCGCGATCTCAAATCGCCCTATCCAGTGCACGAATTCGCTCTGGCCTCGATATGTGCGAAACATCTGGAGGAATCGCCAAAGGAACACATGATTTACTCCCTTCACGAAGTATGGTCTCAATGTGTCCTTGAAATGAGCGAGGCCACGATCCGGATCTCGGAGTAGGGCATTATCGAGCATCGACTTATAAAAAGAAGCGGAACCAATGAGGGCATTCTTTAATGATGGTCCGTGTTTATCTGCATCCAATGTTGTGATCCCTAACCAGTCATCAATTAAATCTTCATATTCAAACCAGCTTGATTGGCCATCAAATTGGGGTGGAACCTTCGGTGTCATTTTGATGCCCATCCGGTTTTCGGAATGACTGGTGGCGGCATATGTTCAGGCGCTTCATAAGAGACAATCTGGAGTTGTTCTTCATCTGAATCCATGTTATGGATTAAGACCATGGCAGCTACTCTAACTTGACCTACAGGTTGCCTCCGCAAGTCCGATATACGGAATGTATGCAGAGAACGGCAGTTCGGCACACGGATCTAGACTTGGCGAAGGCACAGGCTCCGCTACCACTTTGAGGTAGCTATCCCTCTGTTAGGGGAGCCCTGGATTACTATCTACAACACCTGCGGTCAGCGGCAAGACTGCGATTCTTTTCTACGCGGCTTTGCTAGTCTTGAGCCATGCGGAGTGCGCATGAAAGATATGAATTAGGTGTACATGTCAACATGCATGAAAGCATTGTGTAGACACGTAAAACAAAATAAATCACAGGGGGGAAAAGTGAAAATTCCCTAGCTTGGGGAGCCCCCACGGGGGGGAAAAGTGAAAATTCCCTAGCTTGGGGAGCCCCCACGGGGGGGAAAAGTGAAAATTCCCTAGCTTGGGGAGCCCCCACGCAGGGGGAAAGTGAAAATTCTTAGCTTGGGAAGCCCCCACGGGGAGGAAAAGCGAAAATTCCCTCGCTTGGGAAGCCTCCACGGGGGTGATTCCACACCACCCTTAGCCCCTCTCACGGACCGAAATAAACCTGCGGTGTGGGCGGCCACCCCACGCGAAGCGGGGTGAATATGACCCTGGAAGGTACCCCGAAGAAAAGACTTTAGCCACGCCGCTGACTCACTGGCAGCAATTTCAACTATATAACTTGCGTCATTACACTGCAGGGTGCGCGTATCGGAAGGCCCACTTGATGCTGGCCATCATACGTACAGGCGGTGTGGAGTGTTTGGCCGGGGGATACGCTTCAACCTACGCTTCGTGCGGGTGTTAGCGAGACTGCCACTACCACTTCCATGATCATATCGACATCTAGAGGGAACTCGGAACCATCAGCACCCCCAAAAGCATCTGACACCTGGAGTGCACCTTTAACAGCACCCTGAACCACCACTCATCACCGCAGTCTAACAGTCTAACACAAATCGTGACAAACCCTGGACAGATTTCAGAATGCTGGATCTTGATATCTGCTTGTTGCAGGGAAAAGGCACTGAAGCTCATAAATGTCACCTGCTGAACAACGTCTCTGATGTCCTCTTAAAGTCCCCTTGAGTTTTTGAAAGTTGACACCTCCTTACTGAAGGCTAGATTCGTGAAAGCATCTTTCGAGTCTCACCAGTTGCAACACCTGATGTATTTATATATATATTTATATATATATATATCTATTTATTTATCTATTTATTTATCTATTTATTTACTTATTTATCTATTTATTTATTTAACTTTATTTATTTATACACGTTATCCGTTATTTCCAAATGTGTTATACACAGCATGTGGCGGAGAAAGTCTGAAGCAATTTGTTCACAACCCAAAGGCTGTCCCCGCCAACGCCAGCAGCAGCGGCGGCAGCTTGTTCAGCACGTTCACGGCGCTGTCACACAAAGTGAAGTGGAACAAGTGTGATCAGCTGCAATACAAAGTCGCAGAAGTCGCAGAAGTGGCAGAAGTGGCAGGGGCACAAATTACAATCCAAGTCCTTCAAGTCCTGGCCTTCTTCTCTTTGGCCGCTGCATGTTTTTTGTCCCAATCATTGTGTGCCTGTCACAGTGTGTGGTTTAGCTTGGCTCAAGGTCAAACAGACTTAAAGTACGGAGTTTCCATGAGTTTCCTGCATATATGGTCGCATCTTTATAATGCATGCACACTGGAGGAGTTTTGTATTCGGGAAATTCCCCTGCTGACGAGTTTTTAAATTTCTTGTTGGTGTCTTGTCTTCATTTCCCTGATCTCACACCAGACCATACCATTACCATGACCTTTACCTTTATCATTACCATCACCATTACATCCCGTGCGAAACAACCAAAATTAATGTCTAATGAAATGCAAATTTGATGTCTAGTGCAGTTCAACGCAAAACAAGACAAAACAATCTACGAAACAATACATTGCTTTGCAATGCTTTACATTCCATTTAAAACACAACTCTCTGTCACATACGGCTTAGAATGCAGAAATCCCGACTTGTCCTCTTTCTCCACATGTCTGTGTCCCCACCCCGCACTCCCCTCTCACTCTCTCTCTCTCTCTCGCTCCCTCCCTCTCTCTCCCCCTGTGAATTTGTCTGTTTTGATTTTGGTCCTGCGCATCATTGGAATAGCAACATAAAATCATGAACGCTAGCTTGCTCTACTGCGGACACCAGCGCGACCCCCGCCTTTTCGAAAGCCTCTCCCATACGATTCATGGCGTCTGTAATCCAGTCTCTGTCTGCCTGAAGTCCAACAAGATAAAGCCAGCCAACTTTATTGTCAAAGAGTCTTGCTTGCAAACAGACAAGAAATTCTTGTGGTTTTCAACACGCATCCGTTATTCTGCGTGGGGGTCTCATGTGCCTTCACGGACAGGTTGACTTTCTCCATCAAGTCTCTAGCACCTGCTGCCAGGAAAGGCCACACAAGCAGAACAACCTGACAAGAATTGGTAGATTGATGTCAAAAGAAGTCTCAAGTCATGGTAATCTCTATAATTCTCTACATACATGTTCATACTCAGTGAATGGGTCTTCCCAAAACTCGAAGCACTTGCACCAAAACCTCAGGGTCCTGCAGTGCGCTTTCGGAAAAAAAAAACACAAGAAACGTTGGAATGGCCGAATAACAAAAAGCAAAGCGCTTGCAGAAAAAAAAACTATGGATGTATGTCCACAAGGGCCAGCAGCTGCTAGCTTTTTGACGCGCTCCCCTAGATTTGTTGCAGTTATCAGTAGGTAAATAGCCTAGTCCAACTGCCACACGAAGCCAAGCAACCAGTCCATTCCAATAACAGTCCAATAACAGTCCAATAGCTACTGACTGAGTTGACCCGCCACTTCAACTATATACCTAGCTGGTGATCTAGCTATTTTAGTCATCAGTTCTTTGCTATCAAGTTTGTAAAAAGGAGCTAGTAGCTCAAACAACTATGCATAGAGAAAAAATAAGCTTAGTGACCTAGTTTGCTAGTCAGACAGCCTAGAAGAAATTTAGCATGGTCTCTTACAAATGAGTTGCCACTGTCATGCAAGCATTATCATGTATATATATATACATGTATATATATATACATGTGTATATATATATGTCTACATATATATATATATTGTACATACATATATATATATGTACATACACCATCAATGCCCCGACCAAGGAGCTTCCTCTCAGAAAGGTTCGCTGCAAAGGTCACAATGATGCGGGGATGTATGAAAATATGGTCACCTCTCCCCACATACTAAAAGGTTCTGGATTTCATACAAAAAATCTACATGTTATGCACTACGAGTTTGTTGACCAGTTTGTTGGTCGTCCCTTAGCCACGCACTCGCCAAGCATTTCCTTGTTTTCTTTTTGATTTTTGAATTTATACTTCTTCCAAGGCCGAATTTGCGTCTGCGATGGTTCATAAGCAAATCAAGTGGCACGACAACGACAACCTTTCCCTCCGACCGAAGATGTTATCAAGACGCTATTCATGCATCGTATTTGTATGATCCTTGCTACTTCCGTAGGGAACTATCAGGTGCGGAAAACCCATGAAAACCCTACCAGGACTGGAAGGTAGCCAAGGTAGCTAACCATCTACAATTCCTTGTCCTTAAGGCCTGTATAAATGCGTGTATATATATATATATACTGTATATACACACAGATTTTCGCACATGCTTGTATGCATGTCTTCATGAATTCAGTAGAGGACTGCACCTAAATCAGTACCCGCGCGTGTACATTCACTCTGCAAAACGCATGTCAAGTACACCTTCCGTGTCAAAGTCTCGCCTTCTTTGGCTCCTTGGGAGGTGCAATTTGGAGTCCACATAAGCTCGTACGCCATGACCTGCAGCTTCTCTTTCACATGTCGAATTACTCGAATGCTTCATTGAGCGCTTTGTGCTTCATATGATTTCTCAATGCTTTGTGACATCAAAGTAGCATCCTGATTCTTAGCCGCACCCGCAGAATACTCAGCACCAGAGGGCTCTTGGCCGTCACCATCTTCAGCTCCTCTCCGGGATTCATCACACCTGACAACGAGAACAGTTGGATTGCATCAAGCTCCACAAAGCAACATTCAAAACTCCAGTGGTTTCCACCCTCGAAAGGATCTTCAAAAGAAAGAACATTCGTTATTTGCTTCTTTAACCTTCTATCTTTTGAGCTTCTTCTTTAATTTATGTTACTTGTGTATGTGTATGTATATATATACCGTATGTGTATCATTATGTATCATATGTATATATTTGTAAGATTTTGTAAGTATACTTGACTGTTTTGAGCGCACTGAGGTCCTCACGGAGAAGCCGATCGATGTCCCAAAGGGTTCGCAGAATACCCCTGAGCTGCGCTCGGCTGCGCTATTGAATTATTGGGGAGGTCTCGGAGACCTGCAGCATTTGAACTGCAAAGCCGCCATCCTTTCCGTTTCTTTTCCATATCTTTTCCATGTTGTTTCCATTTTGTCTCCGATTCGCGTCCCTGCCTCAAAAAGATCTCCGAAGTCAGCCGGGGAGTGATCCGATACTTCACTTTCGCATCATACTGCAGGGACAGCAGTTTGAATTTCACAGGGTATGTTCAGGGCTTGAGTGACTAGGGTCCATGTGCAGTGTTTAGAAGAAGTTTACCTGGTTGCTTTATAGAAGCGAACTGGTGTTTCTTCTCTCTTTCTACTTACAAGAATGCATGATGCTCTGAGGATTAATCACTACACTAGTCCCTTGTCTAGAGCAAATCTGCAAGCCGAAAGACCTCCAAAAATCGCGAGAGAAACTCTTCCATCTCTGCCGCCGAGATGGTCTTTTGGTCGTCCCAGCTGAGTAGAAGGTTCACAGCCAAAATCCAATCCTGAATTGTAACAGCAATGCAAAACAAGCGTGACACCAAGTGGAAGAGATTCCCATAGCTGCCATAGCTTGAAGCTCCCATGGCTGAAATGAATGCTGAATAAACTCAGCTTGTCTGTCCTCAAGCCGGAGACGGTATTTCTTGCTCCGTTGAACCGGATCTTGTCTTTTGTAGCTGTCATCCTCTGCCTCATGTCAAAAGAATGCAGTTTTGAATATCCCGCAGCTGCTCTGAAGAAAGCGCCACGCTCTGAGAGTCCTGCTCTTTCACCCCTCCTGGGAACATCAGTTGAATATCTGCGGCGCCCAGGCCCAAACCTTGAATTGACGGGCAAGTCGTTATCTACGTCTCTTTCAAATGAGCTGAGCTGCGTTTAGTGTTGGAAATAGCATCTTTATGCACTTTTTCCAATGAGAGACTAAAGCCTTGCTATTTTGCGGCTAAAACCAACTGTTGAGACTGTGGCTATGTTTCTATGAGGAAAGCATCCAAGCATCACAGGCGCATTTGCAAAGCTTCCAAACTCGTGTGTGACAACAGCAGCAGAAATAGCGGGAGCAACCGAAGTAGAAATTTTGATGTGCTTCGTGGCCAATTTGTTTCTACAATCTAAAAGAAAGGAAAAGCCGATTCAGCCCTTCAAATCTTGGTAGAGAGCAAGCAAACACACCAGACGAGAAGAATCATTTCGTGCACTCCAATCTTCCACTACTGAAAGCTCTCCTGGCTGGGAAAAAAACGTCTCTTGATACATGTCTGTTTTTTGGCGCGAACCTTACAGTGTCAGGCAACCTTTGGTTTCAAAGGACTTCCATCGCAAGCAAACTTCTATGCATGGCAACTTCGATCAAGCTTGTGAGATGCAATTATAAAGGCAAATGAGGCGGTGATAATTGATAATGTTGCTCTTGCTTTCTCTCTAGAACTGGCCACTTGCGAACGGTTTCTTTGTCAAAATAAACCAACCTTTGCTTTGGTCCTTTCCGGTTACTCTTCCAATCATTGTGATGGCGACTCTCAAGGCTCAATCGCCCCACTTGCAGAATTCATCGAGAACATGTTCATCTCAGCTTTAGAGTAGCTCCTCCTGGCACAGTTCCAACCTGTTAAAACCTTCTTGAGTCTTGGGGTCCTTGCTTTAAGCATCTTCTTATTGCCCTAGGCTTTCCCTCTGGAAATTCGCACAACTGATAACTCTGAGGAGCGAACTCTTCACTGGCTCCGCGACGCTTGGCACCAGCTGCACACAACGAAAAAGCAAAGACTCAAGAAGCTGTCTATGTTGACTACTAGGATCTACTAGGACTGCCACGGAAGGCACTTGGTACAGACTTGACTGCAACGTGAAACAGAGAAGCCGTCCCTGCCTGCCGGGGTCAGCCTGGCAACTTCTTCAGTAATGAAGGATCAAACTGATACAACGTGTCGGTTCACGTTCACCATGGTTGGGCTTCATCATGCCAGCGGGACGTGAGTCCAGAACCTCTCCGTCCCCAGCCTGTTGACAGGTACAGGGACAACAATGAATTTTTGGCAAAAACAGGTTCAAGCCTCCATCATCAGGAGCACCCCTTAGCATGCAAGGTGTCACACTGCACAAATGTGCAAAGCGACTGAGTGACTGAAGAATCACTTTGGGCTAAAAGCTATGAGATCTATGAGTTCGGCCATGCTATTGCGCTGAGGTCAGTACAGACGACGGCGGAGCAAGGCACCACGGTTTTCAGTCATGCGGCCTGGTGGTGTCAATTTATCCTTCTGGACGCCACGACACCGCTGCCCCGTCAACTTTGACTCGTGACACGCTGACTGTGCCTGGAGGCCTGCTGCGAGGACCTTCGAGAATTGGTACCCACAGGGCAAAGTAGCAGGATACCCATTGGCACGACCAATCAGAACAGCAGAGCGCTCGATGCCATCGCGCTGACTACACGACGTGATAAAGTCATGTCATCTCAATTCGGCATAGCATGACAGCTTCAACGAAGGCGTGGCAGAGAAGACATAAAGTCCAGGATTAGTCAGATTCCACGCAACTACCCAATAGAGTTCTGAATACATTGCTCAATCTGTAGATTGACTTAATATATAATTTGAAAATTGTTTCTTGTGGGTGGGTCAGAAACGAACAACTATTCTGCAATCATCCAAGTGGGCCTCTGCGACTGAGACTTCTACCTTGCCACACAGAGAAAAATGCAACGAGCGCAGCTGCTGTAAGAGCCAATGTCATACTTTCGCTTTGCCATGAAAATAAGGTTTCAAGTTTCAAGATATGAACTATGAACAGTGAGACGGCCTTTTTTCCAAAAGGTTTGAAAGGACCATGGATTTGAATCTAGGTGTGGAACATGTTGTTACTTCTCACACCGAACTCTGGAATGGCCCTTAATTCCGCTCCACATTGCTTCTCAATTCAAGCGCTTTAAAGTCTGCGTGCAGTCTGGGGTCTCCCGCTTGAGCTTCGTCGCCCTCCGGGTAAAACGACCCTTCTTAGTGGACCTGGGCACTGGGTCCTGGGTCCCTTTGCTTTCTCACGCCAACACACCACTTTGTCGATACTGCATTCATTCAAACCACTCAAAACGTGTTCAAATTTGTCATTGCCTTCTTCCAAGATCAGCTTAGTCACTTCGACTTCTGGACCCAATTCGAACATCTCGATCACGCTCAAGCAGCCTTGCCACCAACACAGCAACTGAGGCTTAGTGCCCAAGAAAAAGAAAGCACCTCAGAATCCTCAAAGTACCTCAGTACTGCAGCACTACTCGAGAAATATCACCATGGCCTCGAGGACTGGCGCCGAACTTGTACCTGGAACTTTCTGCGGTCAGATCATCTGAGTCCATTTCTGCACCATTGAGCTCCCGGCTTCTCGAGGGCGCTCTGGCGACCGACTGTCACCAGCAGGCAGGTCCTTTCAAGACAGGCAGTCCATCAAGGACCATTTCAAGAGATTCCGAATGATTCAAAAAGAATTCAAAAAACACATTCCTAGTTATCCTAGTTATCCTAGTTCAAGCAAAAGAAATCCACGGTCTGCAAGTCATGTGATTTGTATCGTGCCTCATCCCAATCGCCTGGGCCACGGCGTCTTTTGGGAGGCAACCCCCTTCTGGGCAGTGGCGGCCTTCCTGTCATTTTCCGTCACTCCATCGCAATGCTCAAGACGCTGGTCCATTTGAGCACTGCGCAACTTGAGAATCAAAGCTACAGCAGCCAGAGGCTCCATATGATCTGCTATGTGGTCTGAGAATCAGAGCATGAAGGTCTGCATATCGCAACAAAGCGATCTGTCCCTTTGGGCTCTGCAAACAAAAAAGCTTGAGACATGCGCTGCTTTGACTTCCTCTCCTTTTCTTCAAACTCATCGGCTGTGCTGAGCTGCTATGTGAAACTGGTGAGACATCGTGCAAAAAAGCAAACACCTTTATTTTTTGTTTCTAGGAGCCTCCAAAATGTTGCTAAAATTCTACAACTGACTTTGCCTTACAGCAAGAGAGGGAAAGCTGTTCAGGGCTTTGCATCCAGCTGTCCTCACGTTGCCTCTGATCTGACATTAACTGCATCCGCTGCACTCAGGAGCCTACATATACAGCATGGCATGGTTCCTTCTTTGCTGACTCGGTCCTCCCGATTTGTATCTTTGATTCTTACAATGAAATTATGTTGCGCTGCAACATCAACAGCCATCAAGAGCCGTCAAGATTCATCAAGAGTCGAGAGCCTCAGGGCTTCTTCAGCTCGTTTCCGAGCTTGCTCCTCTATGCATTGGAAACTGGCAAAGTTCTGACAGAACAAGCGCGGCCTTGACAAATTTACAGAAAGGTTGTTCTGCATCAAGCAACGGAAGGATCTAAAGCAACAAACGTACTTTTGCATGCAAAGAATGTGGACACTACGTTAACAGGTCTACACGTCTTGCGGACACATCACCCCAAGTGTCCTCTGAGAGCAGCTGTTCTTGCAACGGTTTCACAACCTCTCCAAGTAAAATTGTGCAGGAGAGGCCAGGCAACCACGTCAATATACCAAATGTATTGAAAGGTTTCGAAAATCCAGTTGCAAGAAGCTAATTAATCACAGCACAACATGTCGCAGCAATTACACAAGAGATGAAATGCGCAAGAACTGCTGCCTTTGCAACCTCTTCCTGCACAGCTTTCTCGACCTGCAACACGGCTGAAATGCCGGCTGCATCAATACTGAAGGCAAGAAAGACCGTTTGTTCTTTTCTCTCATTCTGATTCTGTTTGATTTGGCTGGATCAAGAACAGTGCATGCAAGAACAAATGGTCTTCAAACAAATTAACACTGCATTGGAGTCCAGTGAATGCCTACAAAAACACACAGCAGAAAACTGAATCACAAGGGCCTCTTGCCAGAGGGATGAGGTTGCGCTAAACTGGGACATGCTTCTCAGCGATGGTGTCCGCTGCCTTTGCCTTGTCTCACAATGCATTAGATTGGGATCAAAATTGGGGTCGGAAATGGCAACCACTTGACACCGACTCATTCCAGCAGCGAGCGACTGATCATTGAAGAAAAGCAGGCTGGGATCCTGATTGCTGTGCCTTAATTGACTTGGTGCCCACGTTCAATCGCATGATTATTCATATAGATTCATCAAGGAGTTGCATGAGTGGCTGCTTGTAACTCACAACATCTGTTCTCTTTGCAAACATGCACGCGTGAAAACATCAAAACTTAGGACTGCTCTGGCCACCTGAACATGGTCGTGAACTGTGTGTCCTAGGATGGTAGCGCATGCAGATTGCCAAAGTGATAAACTGGCTGAAGCAACACTCCTGCTGGCAGTGGACCTCCGTGAGAGGGCACTGGGGAGTTCTGCCCTGTCTGGCCTAGCACTTCGACGGATGATTTGAATGTGGTTTGAAAATTTCAAAAGCTCAGTGCACAACAGCGGATACAATATATACATCTTCCAGCTTTGTCCAAGGAAGCCAATCCTAAGTGCAATGCAGCAAGAGCCCAGTTGAGAAGGAGCCCAAAGGCCGCCGGGAGCGTTGGCTAGACGGAGGCCTGTGAACAAGTCAGCACTATATCAGTTTTTCAAAAAAATTGAACCAAACTCAAACATGACATGACTTCACAGAAATTCAAGTTTCAATTTCAATACATGTGTCACACTAAATTTTCTAGGCGTCCAAATAATGAACCTCACATAGGGCCTTGAAGGAGTCTGATGTTGTGACAAAGCCTGCAACAATTTGCTTCGGTCAAGCGTGCTCAATGTGGCAGTTTTTATCAAAATCTTTTAACGGAGAGTCTGGAAGCTGCACTATCTGCACTTGCATTGCCTTAAAAGCCAAAGCTGGGCACTGAACCGGCAAAGAACTGGACTGGTAGAGCTTGTCAAAGATGACCTGCCCGTGAGAACAAAAAGGTTCAGTGGATACTTGAAACATATAGAACATTGAAACGGCCCACACTGTGTGGACACTCGAGATTGCTTAGAGATGTAGACTCGTCCCGAAAGCCAAGCTCAATGTCGAAGGATCCAGCCCTTGTGTTCCACCAACTGTTCCCTCAAATGCCTATATCCCCATTGGGCAAAGAAGGCCAATCCATGTATCTACCTATCTATCTATTTAACTCTCACAAACCATTGAACTCGATGACGACGACGTATTTCATGCCCACCATTAAATCATTAAGTAATGTCCTCTTTTCCAGTCTCGGCAGGGGCGGCAGTCGGCAGTCCTATATTTATTTGCATACTACATAGAGCATATATATATATATATAGAGAGAGAGAGGTACGGTATACACATAAATTATACTTAAACATATTCATACATACCAGCATAAATGCATGCACAAAGACATACATATAGACTATCATATAGACTATATATAGATAATATATGGACTTTATATAGATATGGGCCACGGTCAATATTTGGTATATAGCTCCAAGTCATCAATTTTTGAAGAGTGTATTATCGTTTTTCAGGTTTTAGTATATAAGCAAATGTTATCGTTTTTTGAAGAGTGTATTTTTCGTTTTCCAAGCCCCAGCTCAATTTCCAAAAAAAAAGATATCTCGAATACTACTCTCCATTAACCTAAATTTTGGCTGTAGCTCATATAATGAATTAGATAAATTCGATGATGTAAATGAATTAGATGCAGGCTTTGGGACCCTGCGCTGTCGGGTGCCTTGGTTACATCATCCACGGTCGGAGCAGGTGGCGCTTTTGGTGCCAGTATCTCTGCGCCTCCCTTTCTTCCGTAGTACCTTGGACACATACTGGTCATTCCCAGGTGGGTAGGAAATTGTTTCGGGATTTTTTTTTTTTAGTTTGGGGAATGTTTTTTTGATTTCCGGTTCTCACCATTTTCCATGCTATTTGCAGCATTTTGGAGCTGGAAACTGCCATTTCCACGGTATGTGCAACGGTTTTGAGTTCGAACCTCTCATTTTCCATTGTATTTTCCACGGTATTTGCAACAGTTTGCAGCATGTTCTGTCCATTTTCCATGCTCTTTGCAGCATTTTTGAGCTGGAATCTGCATTTCCACCGTATGTGCAACATTTTACAGCTACATTCCTCACAGTACTTGCAGGATTTTGGAGCTGAAGGCTGACATTCCAACAGTTGTTTGTTGTTACTGTTACTGTTGTTGGTGTTGGTGTTGGTGTTGTTGTTGTTGTTGTTACCGTTAGTGTTGTTAGTGTTGTTAGTGTTGCTAGTGTTAGTGTTGTTATATATATATACAATATATATATATATATACAATATATATATACAATATACATATATATATACAATATATATATATATATACAATATATATATATACAATATATATATATATATACAATGTATATATATATATATATATATTCTAACCAAAGTAGTGTATTGAAATGTGTGCAAGCTTGAATTTAAATAAAAAAAAGCGGGAGGGGGGGATTGGGGGGGACGGCGCAGCGCCTCCCCCCCAAAGCAGATTGGAAACACCTATTTTCACATGCAAGGTGCTAGGTTGAATGTGATACTCAAGGTGTATATACTACACGACATGCACCTTGGAAACATGTGGAATGTAGGTTAAGGCACAACGATGCACAATAGTTTCATTTGATGTTATCATCGAGTTGGTTTAAGATCTATTTATATAAGGTTTGGTTCAGGGTTGGCTTGGGGTTTGAATATCATCCGGATGATAATGCAAACCTTTTAGATATATATATATATACAGATATACAGATATATATATAGATATATAGATATATAGATAAATAGATATATAGATTTAAAGATATATAGATATAAAGATATATGTATATATACATATAGAAATATAGATAGATATATACAGATATATAGATATATGGTGGTATAAATATATATATATAGAGAGATATAGATATATAGAGATATTTATATAGATATATAGATATATAGTGTATATATATAGAGATATAGATATATAGATATATAGATAGATATGTATAGATAGATATGTATAGAGAGAGAGAGATAGATAGATAGATAGATAGGTAGATAGATAGGTAGATAGATAGATAGATATATATGTATATAGATATCTAGATATAGATATATATAGAGATATATAGAAATATATAGATATATATATAGAGATATATAGAGATATATATAGAGATATATTTATATATAGATATATATATATATAGATATAGATATATATAGAGATATAGATATTTAGATATATAGATAATTATATAGATATATGATATATATATATATATAGATATATAGATATTTTTTAGATACAGCCATAGATGTAGATATAGATACAGATATAGATAGACATAGATAGATATAGATACGTAGATATAGATAGATATAGATAGATATAGATGGATATAGATGGATAGAAGATGTGATGTTGCTCCACACCTCATGGAAAAGCAAAAAAACAAAGAAAAGCAAAAAAGCAAAAAAGCAAAGAAAAGCAAGAAAAGCAAAAAAGCAAAGAAAAGCAGAAAAGCGAGAAAAGCAAAAAAGCAAAAAAGCAAAGAAAAGCAAGGGAAGCAAAAAAGCAAAAAAAGCAAAGAAAAGCAAGAAAAGCAAAAAAAGGAATAGAAGCAAAGAAGCAGAGAAGCACTGCAGGAGGCAATAGAGTAAGCAGGAAGAAATCCAAAAAAAAATCCCTAAACTAAAAAAAAAAAAAAACTAAATAAATGGCCCTCCTTCCCAGGTCATCCGAAAGTCTCTGTCAGCATACCAGGTGGCATTCGGTGGCATACCACGTATCAAATGGTATCAGAATGGTATCAGAATGGATCAGAATGGTATTAGTATCTCTTCTTAGTTTACTTTGCAATCTTTGCAAATCGACTTGATCTCAGTGGAGCTTTGTCTGCATTTCGAAACTCTTCTGAGCGATTTGCAAGAGTGTACCTTTTTGCCGGGCTTTCTTCTCCTTCCCCAGATGCTGCCTTGACAAGAAAGTGCACTCCAAAATGCAAATATACGTATCAAAGCTGCGAAGCTGGTCTGTGTGGGCCGATGCCAAAAAGCTGAGTTGAGCCAACAGTTGAGCTAGTCGAGAGATAGTCGAAATGTCTCTGTAAATTTGTATGGTGTCTGTGACCCTCTAGGCCGTGAACTGCCAGGCACCATGTTTGGCCGCAAAGTTGTCCATTGCAAGTCGTACTTTGGGCCCCAAAGCAAGCAAACAGAAAGTTTCTTTGTTTTCTTTATTTAAACTCAGCCAGCAGCTTCCATGCGCGAAGCCATACCCTAATTGCAACTGCTTAAGTCTTTTTCATGTGCATCTGCTGTCCTATCGGTCCTATCCATTTGGCCCAACTTTGCCGACTTTGTCGACTTCACAACAGCAATACTCCTTGGGAGACTGCCAAATTTCGTGAAACATCACAACTTACAAAATTTTGAAAGAAAAACATAGAAAAACTAACTTCAGCAAGATCCTGTCACGAGTGCATGACAACAGCGAGAAAAGAAGGGAATGCTCAAGGTACACTTGCTGGTGACAATGATTTCCAACTAATCTAGCTACGTGAGTGTGTCTCAACACATGCAAGATTGGCAGCGAATGCGCTTTCCAGTATCGCCGAAAGCTCGAAGGTACTGGCAAGGGCTGTGTCAAAACATGGTTGTTGACAGCATTGAGCAGTCCTCAAATGCACAATGCACAGCTGTCATTCATGAACTAAGTTTAACTAAATTCAAAGCAAATGAGGTCGGAGGGCTTGCTGGTCCATGGACCCTCCTGCAAAGGCAGGCGCACTCCAGTTCCATCATTGCCAAGGGCAAAAGAGATACAAGACCATCTATTGAAATCTAGTTTGACCACTCAGCACATCTGGCAGCTTCCTCCTCTGTATGCCCTCAGATCTGGTAGAGAAGTATCCCGTGGTGGGACATAAGGCCTCCAAAACACTGGCAAGATCTCATCCGTTCGAGGTCTTGCAACACTTCTGGTAGTTGGCCTCATGCTGCTAACAGTTCTGTCATCAAGCTTGTACCTGCCACCAAATGCCACAAACAGCTCTCCTGGCTGCTTTAGTTCTGACAAAGTTTCTTCTCGTGCTGTGTTGTGTTGATGGATCTCTGCATCTGCGCACTGATTCTTCTTGTCTGCGGGGTGGACCTTTGTAACGTCTTGCCCATAGGGCCAGAAGCGAGACCTCAAGAGGAGTGAAACTTTACCCCGAAACTGTCTGGCAACATCAGTTCTGACTGACCTCAATCATTAGTGACATTAGTGCAAGCTTCCCTTGCACTCATGAGCTCTTGACGAAGTCGTCTCGAGCGTGACATTGGGCATGGTAGCCTGAATCCAGCTGGAGCTGTTGCAGAACACGGCCCCAGAATCTCAGACTCACAAAAAAGCATCGCTTTGAGACCAAGATGAGCCTTGAGTCCAGATTCAAACCACTCGCCGTAGCTTCGGTAGAGTCTGATCGGAGCCTTGAAAGTTGTCACTACATTCACTCCATGCACAGCCCATGCAGCTCTTGCCCGCTGCTGAGGCCAATGCATGCTTGTCATCACATGGCTTCAAATGCCCCACCTGCAAGTGTGCTCGTGCGCAAGAACTAGCTCTCATCCACGTCACACTTGAAACCGACAATCTCGACAAATTTTCCAAATATACCAGGATAAGCCACATTGTCAAGTCTGCATTTGCCAATGGCAGTCGACGTTGTGTAGAGTTCCCTGGCATCAATAGCCACATTCAGCAAGGTATGGCATTTTCCCCCTTGGCAGAAGTTCAATGACTGCAAAATCAAAGACTAGAGACAAAAATACCGTGACTATCTGAGACTGGTTAGTGCTCTTCTGCCGCTACCAGTGAAAAGGGTACAAAATGTAGTGACTGGAGAGACCATAGTTCGGTGGATTTGTTTTGGCATGAATCACTTCCTTGTTGCAAGTTAAAAGGATCAAAAGGATTGTTTTAAGCAGGGCAGGTTTGGGTCACTGGTTGACATGGTCCCGCCCGGCACATCGATTGAGGGCTCAAGTTTTCTAGGCCAACGCAGTGAATTTCATTCTGAATGCAAAATCAAGAAGTCAAAGAACCATGGCTCACTAACTATTGGATGTCGCCTCGCAAGAATCACCTTGGATACCCTTGTTGAGTCCGGGGTGCTCATGTGGCTGCTTTGCTGGGAGGCTCTTGAGTCGTCAGATTTTCTGACAAGCGAAATCCTTGAAAGTACTTCAGCTTCAGATGTCTTCCTGTCTGTTGCACTTAAGCAACACATTTAGCATCACTGGCATCACTGGCATCACTGGCATTTCATATCAAGTATATTACACAAGCAGTGTATGGGAAGGATCTGAAGATTTAAAAACCCAAGGATTTTGATGCTGCAATCTTGATAGAGGATCTTGGACACTGGATGAAGAAATTTTGTGTCCGGGAGATCTCCCGCAGGTTCTTGGTGAAACATTGTTACCTATGGAACTGGAAGCAAGATTTTGCTGAGTATCTCTAAACATTTGGCAAGTAGCTCTTGACAACCGCATCTACCCGATTTAAAGTAGTTGCAATACGCGAAGTTGTTGCAGAAAAGGTTTTCGGAAGTGTTTGGCGAGTCTCACTTGCAACTCGTCGCACCAGTGTTTGGTACGCAAGGACACGAAGGGCACGTGAATGTTTCTAGCACTCGTGACTAAGATCAAACTGACACATCTTTTAGCTTGACTAACCAATGAATCATGATAACTACTCCGGTATTGTCCTTTCAAACTATGTTGGCTGTTGAAGAAGACCATTGCAACAAAAAACTCTTAATTTTAAGATATTTTAAGGATGAGGGTATCAGAATAAGAGCCATGAACAATGATTAATAGACACAACAATGCTCGAGACAGATCCTCGGTGGGGAAAAATTGCCACAACCACTCAAGTAAGCTTGCGGTTTGCAGTCAATCACTTCAGATGGCATGGATAGGAATGGCTGGCTGTCCTTTGGACATAAAGAATTTGGCAAAACGCATGACACAAGAACTTCAAGGCAAGGGATCAAGATTGTCCTACAATTACCTAGCCTGACACAATGCCAGACATCTCCAGTAGGTTTCATGTGTGTAAGGCATGCAAAGGTGGAGGCAAACAAGGACAGAGACATTTTGACTTCACAGACATCTTAAATCTGAATAAGCTTCAGATGCAAACCCCATGCATTCCTTCTCTTGTATTTTGTATTTGGGACAGTACAAAAGGAGAGAATAGGGATTCCTGACTAAAAACGCACCCAAGAAATTTGGAGAGAAATCAGAGGTCTCGGCAGCAACAAAAAGTAGCAACAAACAGCCGGGAACGCTCCATACGCCGAACATAGCCAGGTTCAGGCTGAAAGTCATACCGACCCAATGTGTGCCATGGACCTGAGGCGGTGTCTTTTTTTGAAGGACTCCTAGGACTTACCACCAAGCACTTGTTTTGGCGAAGCTCAAAGTGCTCCATGCTTCTTTATGGTGATCTCAAGTGGGGCTCAAGCACGTCTCCGAAAAAAGAACTAAGAAGAAACCCGCAAAACAAGGGAAAGGAGATCACAAGATGATTGACCTGAGACCATAACTTGCCATTTTTCCTCTGATGTAAATCAAATGCAGGTCTTTGAGCAAATGCTGCATGTGTATGCAAACGTGTCATTCTTTTCTCTGTGCCAAGAAGCTGCATTCTCTCTGGAATGCTTTTGTGGTATAGGTTCATCATGAAAGTCTCTATTACAGCAACAAAACACAAGAAGCTCGCGTTTATTTTTCAAGTCAGTGCCGGCTTGGTCGGCTCTGCCATTAACATTGACCTAAGGATGTTGTGGAGGACACTCCTGTCAGTTGAGTCCTCTTAGAACTGTATGATTCACACGATGGGGCACAGCCATGCTGTTACCACGGCTGTTCAGGGCTGGAACTGAGATCTGTGCAGTAAACGTCAAACACAATCAAACAGTGTATTTGGGCAAGTTTGGAGTTCTCTTCCTCCTTGGGCCTAAGAGTCACAAATTGGAACCCCTAAACAGCAACCTGCGAGGCATCCACTAGTCAAAGCTTGCTGGCACCGATACCTCAATCTGCTGCCTTGATTGGTTTCAATGTAGACTTTCCAGGATTGTCAAGATTGCCAAGACGTTGGAAGTTCAAAGCTAAGCAATGTGCAGAAGCTTGCCTCAAACTCCAAACACATCATCTGTGTTGGCGTCACGCCAACTCTGACGAACCTCAGCTGAGGTTGCAGGTAATGAACAAGTACTTGCTAGCCTTAGAAAGGTACAATGGAACATGCATTAGAGAAAGCAGGCCAAACTATCCGAAAAAGCATGTGTCATCTATAGTTTGATGGAAAAAAAACTAGGTGGGAGAGGTTTGGCCTCTCAAACAGAGCGGTGTGGTTTCGGTGAAAGTGTGCTCCTTGAGCTAGCAGTTCCCCACAAATAGCAGCTTCTGGTCGCTTCCCATGTTGATCATGTTGACGGTATTGACGTCTGTACCGTCCCACCCACTCCAAGCTTCTGGCAGAGTTGTAACAGCTCCGATGGCAGCCACTAGGAACACCAAAGAGGCGATCAATAGCCTCCGAGCATCGCTGCTTTGAGAAGCTCGGAAATAGAATTCTACATTCTGAAGGCAACGTAGCAATGCAATATACACGTGGCTGCATACCGTTTTTTCTTGGGGCCCTGGCCCTGTCTTCTCCATTTCGCAGACACTAGGGCCCACAAGCCCAGATGGCAAACGCGCTCCATCTCTTGTGGACATGACGGTAACAAGCTCGGCCTAAAGGGGCACCACAAACCAACACACAGTAGAAGTGTGGAAGAGACAAATCAATGTTCTATCTTTTTGTATATACTATATATATATACATGGATTGTCAAAAAAACATATTTTGTCAAGTAAGGATCTGTTCATGAAGTTTCTATAAGGTGATCATCAAGAGTGTTCCAAGTGCAGCGCAACGGGCCATCGGTCAGCAGCAGTAGGGAAAAGGGATGATGCACCTCTCAATTACAGTCATACAGGAGTGGATATGACCCAACTTCAATGGTTGATCAGTCAACGCCAGGCAGAAACTTCAAAACACAAAGATATTTTGTGTAAAACTGGTTCCTGCATTGAAAAAACGACCTTTGATTAGTATTGATAGCTGTGTTTTCACACAATTCAAGTTTGTCTCGACCATCAAGGACGCTCCGTACCCTGCCGGTTGGAACCATTCGTCCACTCCACGATGGTGATCATCGGAACACAGAGCGACTTATTAGAAAGGTGGCCAGGTGGCCTGGAATGCCCAGTTCGGGAAACTTCACCAACCTTAAGCGTTCGGTGTCCAAGTGCTGAAGTTGAATCCGTTGTTATCGTTGTTCTAAGTTGAGCACCATTTGTGGGCTTGACCAGAGCATGTCTTCGACATTGGATTCCAGCGACCAATCCTGTTGCGCGGTAGCAGCGAAAAACGCTCAACAAGGAGAATCAATTTCTTCTCCTCAAAACAGAAACTATTTCAGTTTATGACACGCAAGAAACTTTGCACGGGTGGCAATAGGCTTTGGGTAGAGAAATCTGTTTGAACATGTTGCCTTCTAGCCAGCAAAATCCCAGCTGTGGTGATCGATCATAAAGTTGCGCAAAAATGAGCACCGGATCCCTCCTCTCGACTTGTGCCACCAGCAAGCCATTCACATCCTTCAAACATGTGCAGTATTACAGCAGAGTTACAGCCCACTCTGTGCAAGAGTGCAAATATTCATCCACTATCTTGGAAGATGCAGGAAGACCTTGCCTCTATGTTGAAGGAGCTTTGGAACAAACGTAAATAGGGAGTGTGCGCAATCTTGCGTCCCGCCTGGCTGCAAAAATAAATTGATTTGAACATGTCGCATCATGGCTGAGTCATGTCTGTAGGAAGTATCATCCGAATGTACAGGCCAGGTAGTCATGATCTCTGATGATGAACTGCAGAAAGACAGAACCATCCTTGGAAACATGGCTCAAAAACTGATAGCAAATGTGTCTGTCGCTTTCTGGACTTCACAAGTCCACAATGCTACTTCCCAACAAAACAGGAAAGTTCGCTCAGATTAGGAACTCTGCTTCTACTCATAATTATCTGGCTACATAAAATCAAAAATGAATAAAGATGATATCCTCAGCTGAACCAACCGAGTTCGAAACACAAGAACCATAGATCTCGCAGGCATGTGAATCTGGCTCACCTGGGACGTGGTAGACCTGCATGAGCATTGCCAAGTTACAATTGTCGCAAATAAGTTCCAATGAACAAAGATGAACAAAGCTTGTCAAGGCCTTCTCATCCAAAAAGAACCGCCTGTGTTGGCACTCCATAATAGTCTGTGGAAGGTTGTCCAAAACAGCTTTAAGAAAAGAACTGGTCTCATCCTACTCATATCACCTCTGAATCTCACGTATGACGCTAGAGGGTTGCTAAGCCGAGTGCGTATATCCAACGCAGTCATTCAATCGAAACGTGTTGCCAGTCAACGACGCCACCTCTTCGGCTAAAGGCCAAGGCTGGCAGAAACAAAGCGGATACGGCAGAACATAATAGAACAACATGTCAATTAATGTCAATCAATATCAATCAATAATATCAACCAGTCTCTGGGTTCGACACTGGTTGAGTTGATCCAAAGAGACCTCTACTTGGAAGAGTGTAGGATGTGACAGGGACCAAGCCTTCAGGGACGTTGATGGGCTGACTCTCCGTTCCACACTGGGCTTTAAGGTCTTGTACGGCTATCGTGCGCACACCATTTCTGCGAAAATGTCAAGTGAAAACATACATCAGTGTGTGGTCTGAGAATCCGCCTTGTTAGGTTATTCGTGTCTCAAATGAACGTGCCTGGTATTTTTTGGTATCCACTTCTTTTTCGGGTCTGTAGCTGCTCTGTACTCTACCTACTCTACCTTCTCCATCCTTCTCCCACCTCTTTCTAATCGTATCATGCACAAAGCAGCGGAAAACAGTGCGGAACGTGCAATTCACAAAAGTTGCCCAAAAGTAATGGAAAGCACCGTTTGAAATCCTGTCAGCCCTACCTCCTCCAAGAGTGCTGCATTGTTGGGTCCATGACATCACCAGGGGTATCTGTTCCAGGGATGGAATCAGGTCTAAACACCCACTCCTCTCACACCCCCTTCATCTGCACTTTTGAGGAGTATTGACATGGTCCAAAAGGGTTCATATCAGAGAATCATGAACCAAGAAAGGGCAAACACAAAAGTTCATGCACTGGATCTCATTTTGAATCTATGCACTATGCACTGTATTTGTTTTGATGTTATCGTTTTTCAATAGTCTGCCCGAGCTTAGGGTTTGACTGCAGGGTCTTCTGGTGAAGCCTCTGACGTACTCCTGAGAGCTTACAAGTCTCAATTCTCAATGTTGACAGAGTTCTGAAAGAATGTTAAAGAAAATATCATGTCTGAACTTTTGAATGTCATAAAAACATATAAAAATGTGAAGTCTGTCGTAAAATGTTTGAGTCTGTCTAGTCTGTCTAGGGACCCCGTCCAGCTTCCAGACGGTGCCAGTGTGCAAGGACTCGGTGCGTCAATCTCCAGCTTGCTAGGCCTGCGAAAGATGTGGACGCTGCAGCTCTACAAAGACATACGAAGAAAAATCAACAAAGACAACAAGATCAAAAATTGCAAAGACCAGCAAAGACCAGCAAAGATCAGAAAGCTAAGCAAAGCCAAGCAAAGACCAATTCTAAGGCTGGCACCATTCGTTCAAGATAGGACATGGATCGAGTGCAGGGTCTCCTGCAGCTTTGCTTCTTATTTTCATTTGAAGTATGGCTGCTACGCGCTCTGAACGCCTTTGGCGGGCAGTACAGCTGAAGGAGCTCCGAATCCTCACTCCAAACGAACCGACTCAGTAGAGTCAAAATGCACCGAATACACTCATGACTCATGTGTGTATATATATACAATTATATAACCAATTTTAACCAGTCGCACAATGTATGAGAAATGTGGAAGCCTACGGCTACTCGCCATGAGCACAGAACCACTGTACCTTCTCCCCCCCACCCTCCCCGTTTGGCTATATACCTAAGTAGTCTATAGGTAGTATCTGGACATTATATATATATATATAGCTCGCTTTGTTAGAGAGGTTGTCTAGTGTCTGGGCAGTATGTAGGTTGAGTGCAGCAAATAGCAAATGGCCAGAATTATATGGGCAGTGCATGTGTGTAGTGCACAGTGTAGAGCTGGTATAGTGAAAGGTTCATGGTAGTGTGTATAGGTTTGTGTAGTATACGTGAAGCTGTGTAGTTCTGAGGGATGGGAGGGGAAGCAAGAGGGTGCGGAGGGAGTGTAAGACGGTAGGTGTGAAGTTCTGTGAAGTACAAATGTGCAGGGGGGTAGGGTTCTTGGGTGGAGAAGGGACGGACCAAACCAGCGCCAGCGGGGACTGGGCGGCCGGGAACTGGGCTAATATACTAAACATGCAAATGCGTACATATACTAGTATGTGCATATGACCCATTTATATATACATACCTACATATTCATATGCATATGTTATGTATAGATAATGTACCCTGTGCATTCCCCCGCCTATACAGTATGACATGTGGTTATGTATGATGCACAAAAAACATGTTTGCATCAAACTCAGGCAGGGTTCAAGTCTGAACCTCAAACACCAGATCCATTCAGCAGGCAGCTAGCAAAGCCTGATGATCTACATCCTCTCGATACGATATGATGTTGAAGCAGCAGTCAACAGTGCCATCCCCAATGTGACACAAGCAACAGAGCTCTGCACTGCCATTCAAGTACGTGCGCAAAGCCTCACACATTGTCACCAGAATCACAAGATATAGTTTCAGTCATAATTCTGCTGGCAGAGAATTGAAATTAGATCAGGAGACACAACACTTATGAGGTGCAAAGTTTGCAGCGTACATTCCGAGGAAGTGACTCCTTGGGTGACATTTGCAAAGCTCCAAGATCTTAGCAACACAAATGCAGACACACACCGAGACAGATGCAGCACAAAGCACTCAAAAACACAGAGCTGTAGATGTCTTAAACATATAATTATATGTTATATATGTTATATGTTCCTTTGATGTTATCTAATCTTTATTGCACCTCTTTCACAGAAATGAGATGTGCGCTCGGTGGCGGCCTGCAGGGCCTGTCACCGCTTTGCTCTGCTTTTCGCTATTGGCAAATCAAATATTCTTCGCAGCCTCGGCAGCCTCTTGCCCTTCTGCAAAAGTCAGACAGCCAAGGCCCAAAGCGGCCCAGATCATCTGGAGGGCACCACCTCCGTAACAAAATGAGTGCATAATAGTGATAATAATAATAATAATAAATGATAATAATAATAATAGTAGTAATAGTAAGAATAAGAATGATAAGAATGATAGACAGGAAAGGCAAGGGAAGGCACAGGAAGTTGGGCAAGTTCGGATGTGCAAAAATTCTAAACGCAAATTAGTAGCAGTTGGCCTCAGCTCTGACCTAGCGCTTCATTGAGGCGAATCTGTGAGCCGGAAACAGAGTTGCCAGAAACAGAACCTCGGGAGTTACATCTTTGTCTTCCTGGCAAGTACAACAATTGAGTGTTGTCATCAATCTGTGTTTGTCAGCCAGATGAGGTGTCAAATCATATGGTTTATATGTCATAATGATCCTAACAGTACTTCTTCAGCAATAATACGTCGCACTACGCAACTTGTTTTCCCGTGCAGTCCAGCACGCGTGAGGTTAGACTAAGTCGAACAGCTACGGCTCAAGTTGATTTGAATGGCTGTCTGTAGGGCCCTTCCACATAGAAGTCCAAAGCCATAGCGATCATTGCCAACAAGCCCGGACTCGTCTGCTCCAACTCCTTCGGAATAACTTCCCATGGTTTCCTGTTGGACCCTCGATATGCATTTATTATTTGCCCAAGCGCGTTGGACATCCTTGTGCACAAGGTGTGCACAGGTCTTGCCACCTCTGGATCAATGTCAGTAGCAGTGGACAATGCTCTTGCTATAAAGTCGTAAGCATGTTTGTTGTTAATAGCATCCTGCAAGGAAAAGCCACACTGAGGCACTTGGCCACCACATTTTGCATTGGCCTCCCTGATACTCTTGGCTACCTGAGGATTGTAAACCAAGTAAGACAAATCAGGTTTGTTTCCAATGTTTTTCAGTACTTTCTTAATGGACTCTGTCACCTTTTCAAGCGCAACATCGTCGAAGTTCTTCCGCATGTCAAGGGAAAAAGTTGCCAGCTCTCCGGGAATCTTTATGCCAGGAATCATCCCATATTCCATGGCAGGCAGTAGATAGTTGCCGTTGAGTCCTCCGTGATACTTTCCGAAGGCAGTTTGTGCAAACCACGCAGCCGGAACTCCATTTAAGCAATTCTCTGTATGCTCACCACACAAGGGCTTGAAATCCTTGGTGAGGGCATCAGCATCGCTGTAGCTGGTAGCTGCGTATTGTCGGTTCACAAAGAGGGGCTTCGTTGCTGCTCCTTGGAAGGATTCCTCCATCAACTCCTGTCAGGGTTTCTCAGTAGGACAGAAATTGAGCGGGGCTCCAGAAATGTCGATCAGAAGAACTGGAGCATGTACACAGGTATTAACAGATTATTAACACATGTACACATCTGTGTGTTACACATGTTAACACGTGGTTGGTGCCATTGAATCACTGACTTCATCAGCGCCACCTGATCAACATCCATTTTGTTCAAATCACCGGATCCCAAAATAGAGACTCAGAAGAAATGTAAACAAGAGCCGTGTGTGTGTGTATGTGTGTATGTCTGTATGTATGTATGTATGTATGTATGTATGTATGTATGTATGTATGTATGTATGTATGTATGTATGTATGTATGTATGTATGTTATGTATGTATGTTATGTATGTATGTTATGTATGTATGTTATGTATGTATGGTATGTATGTATGGTATGTATGTGTATGTGTGTATGTGTGTATGTTTGTATGTGTGTATGTGTGTATGTGTGTATGTGTGTATGTGTGTATGTGTGTATGTGTGTATGTATGGATGTGTGTATGTGTGTCTGTGTGTCTGTGTCTCTTTGTGTATATGTGTATGTGTGTATGTGTGTATGTGTGT